CCATGCCTGCTGAGCCCAGCGGGCAAGAAGGGGAGTCTTTTGCCAGAGTGGGAGTCCTCTCACCACTGCCCACCCCTGTTTCATGGATTAGCCCATGGACCTCAAAGCCTACTGCCTCCTTCTTTATCTCACAAAACCCTAGTGCTCAGGTCCCTTCAGTCTCTACCTGTTTAGCTCTTCTATTCTTGTTATAGGCATCGGAACAGTTCCCAAGGTAGAGCTATAAAAATTCCTCTTCTGCCCCAGACGCCTGCATACTCATTTAACCTGGAAGGCTTTTCTCCTCCCCACATTGTATTCGATGAGATCATATCAAGACTTACATCAAGTCAAATAAATAGAAAGCCAGGCCTCCGTCACAGCCCCGGTCCATCACATGCAGCCCGACATGGGATCTGTTTTGGCCCAGCTGAGTCAGGCAGACACACACGTGAGCCTGGGTGGAACCAGGCCTGGAATCAGCCCTCTGGCATCCAGAGTGTTCCTTCTCTGGGAAGCCAGGCATTTCACGCACTCCCGATATTCACATGTTGGCAAGCTTGGGATATTCTGGTAAGGAGCATTCCTGTCTATTCCAGCTTGAAATGAGTCTGCATTTCTTTGTCCAACACAATGCTTTGAAATGAGTGATGATGCCAGAAAAAAAAATATCAGGAGAGTTTACAAGGATTGCTACTGATCAAGTATATCTAGCGTTTAGGCTGAAAACCGTCTTTTCTTTAGAACTCTGTAGACTCAGAATCTGTCCTTGGGAACACCTTGCATTCTGCTTGTCTTGGGCAAACAGTCTATAAGGAAGAGTAAATGGAAGAGGAATTCGCTCTGGCAGCATGTTTTATGTGAAGGGGGAGTACATGGGGACAGGATGGAGAGATCACCACGGCTAAAGTTTGTGGGGAGTGAGACAAAAAGGAAAGAAGTCTTGCTTCTCTCTGCAGTCCCTAGAGAGAAAAGAACGAGACAGCTGGGGTTTATGACTCGGGTCCTGCCCTGCTCTTCTGCTTTCTTGGGCCCATTGAAATGGCCACCATGGCAGGACCCTGGCCCCAGAGTGATCCGCAACCTTCTGAAAGGTCTGCCTTGGTCCTGCTGTTGCTTATAGGCAGCAGGAAACATGACTTCTTGCTGAGGTTCCTTACTGTGCTGGCTCTGGTGAGTGATCAAGGAAACCGGAGTGGTTCTCATTACCTTCTATATCCCAAGTGTAGACTGTTTGGGTCAACCCCAGAGGTAGTGAGGGCAGCATGATGGATTTGATGTTCCACATGGGGCTGGGACACAGACTGACCCTGGCAGGGGACACTCAGGCTCTCAGTAGTGACCACTGAAAACCATGCCCCATCTGCACCAAGTCATGTTGGCACACACCAAGCATTTAAAAAGGGAATCGCACGGGTATCTGGCGCTTAACAAAATTCATTATTTAATTTGTATTTCTTTGATCACTAGAAGGTTGAATTTGTTATTGCATGGCCATTTCCATCCTATCATCTGTGGGGCCCTTGGCCTCAAGTATCCTTGAGACCAAACTTCCTGTTCTGTAATTGCCCCTATGCTCTCTGCTAATGTCCACACTTTCACCTCTCCCTTCTTTGATCCCAGGAAACTGTCACATTGAATCCATCTTATAATTACTCTCTGGAGTACCATCAGCTACATAATAGCTCTCTTTGGGCTCTCAAATTGTGCTTTGTTTGTGCCATTCAGCTCAGCCCTCCGGGGCTGTAAGCAACAAAGCAGAAGGTTCCTTTAGCTATTCACTTCTCCCACACACAGGGCTTCCTGCCAGCACCCGTCCACACCAGCTTTTCATCTGAACAAAACCCTGTCCAGTGCTAAATATAGCTTTATTTAACATAATTGTACAAGGTGCTTTCTACTTTTAAATCTAGACTGGCCAGGGAGTGGGACATTTACATAACAAGCTGGTGTCAGCCCTGATTTCCTTTATTGGAGTGGTGAGGAAACTAAGGAACGGGGAGGTTTGCAGCCCTGCTCCTGTCATAGGACTAATTAAATCCCAGGTATCTTAACTTCCGGTAGGTGCACTGTTCACTCCCTCCCTCCATATCCAAGCAAATAGCCCAGTCCTTGGTTGTGGGCAAGGAGCCCCTGAATTCCTGCAAAGGCTGGTGGATGGCAGGGTGTACTTCCCCTCTGAGAGCTCACCCACCAGACTGGGGGAGGGGTGCTCCCGCCATCTGGCTCACCAACCAGAGATCTTGTCCAGTTTGCATATACTTTTTTTTTCTTTTCTTTTCTTTTTTTTTTTTTTTTTTTTGCCACTACCCCCAGCTGGAGGCTAGTCAGCTTCTGAAGTGTTCCAGGGCTTTCCCCAGACCACAGAGCTTCCAGGTGAAGCTGTGGTGCCTTCTTCAGCCCAGCTGCCGGGTACTGCCACATTCTGACTTAGTGGCAAAAGCAGATGCCTTCAGGGCACCTGAAGTATGTCTGCTTGTCAAGTGGCTGGCGTAGGACTAGGCATGCCATGAGGGCGGGGCTTTACCCATTGTCCCTTTTATCCCAGCACCTGGAACAGAGTCTGCACACCATAGACCACCCCCAATAAAATATGTAGGGGGAACAGTGTGGGGATCACAGAGACCTGGCAAGTACGTGTCTCGTGGAAGCCATTCTTGTTAAAAAACACACCTCTGGGCAATATTTGGCTTCCAGCTTCCAACCCCTATGGTTGAATAAACAAGGCTATTTATGGATAGAATGGAACAATGACCTCCAAGCAACAGCGATGCCCGCTTACCGCTTTGATGTAATGTGCCCGGTTGGAGTCAGGACGCAGGACCAGTTTACGCACCTCTTAAATCCTTCCCATTAATAACCTTGACCCTTTAACAACGTTGTCCTAATTGGAGACGTGTAAATTTTCACACTTTCCCTTCTACTGTGCTGTGGTCTTTTTCTGAATCTCTTAGTCATATGCCTTTCTTTTCAAAAAAAATGTACAAAGAACACCCCTTTTACCAAATAAGGAACAGACTTTCTAAACACAAACTTATGTCCTGAGAGAAGGGTGACAAATCTGCTTTCATTCGTACAACGTCACTTTTTCTAAAATGGATTTAAGCAAACAGTGGCAGCTGTTTAATGCCAAAAACATTTTGAGCCCAATTCATCTTCACAGTCCGCCACAGCGAGTCACAGCGTCCTGGATCGCAGGGGACAGCCCCTGTTTCTCCTCCGGTGAAGCGTTGACTCTGGCTGTTCCCAGGGACACTGACCTTATTCCACTGGATCTGCGTCATCATCCTTCCATCCCATTCTCCCGACACTCCAGACCCATTTGTTTGGGTTTGTAGCAAAGTCCCCTGAACCAAAAGGAATGTGGCTCTTGGGTCAGCCATCAGCTGTTCTAGAGCAGACAGGATGGATGGGGAGCCCTCTGGGCACACGTGCCTTAACCCTACAAAGGGTTGACAGATACGAGACCATGTGCCTCAGCATGGAAGCCCAGAGCCAGCTTTTAGACTGTGACTTTTCACTTAAACACATCGAATCGGGAAGGGTATCAAAACATCCTCTAGCAAGTAGAATCTACTTGGAGGAATGGAAAATCAAGCCATAGCCATCATTAATATTTTAGCCAGGATATATGAGTACCTTACAAGGTACCAAAGGCATTAAAATTCCAGATTTTCTTGAAACATTTTACTGGTAAATTGTAAACACACACACACTTACACACACACACACAGACACCCCAGTCAGCAGCAGGCAATATTTGACTTCCAGTTTGCAAGCCCTTTGATGGGATAAATAAACTGGGTTCTAGATTGAAATCATTGCCATCCAGAAACACCAGACTCCAGCCTACTGCTTGACGTTCTCTCCTGACAAACTTAGAGATGCGGATAACTTTTTGTGGTGGCAGTGCCTCTCTCCGTCAGTGACCTTGGCCCAGATCTGGACTGATTATAATTTTCAGTCCTGAATGTAAAAGCTTGTGTCAGTGAGGACTATATTCAGCTGCAAATAACAGAAAATCTGGCCAACAGTGGCTTCAATGGTAGGGGACTATTTTCCTCATGTAACAAGATATTCAGAGGCAGGGGTGCCTCACAGTGGTTCAGCTGATCCGCGGCTGTCTGGGCCAGGCTCTTTGAGGCTTTCTGACCCACGCTACTCAGCATTTTGGCATTTGTCACAACTGCACAGCTGTGATCAAGGTAGACAGGAGTGGGGAAGGAGAGCATCAGCTGGATCTATTCACCTGGTTAAGAAAACCAAAGCTTTCATTGAGACTCCCGGGCAAGCTTTCCTGCCAGGCTTACTGGGCTGAACGGTGTCACGTGACTACCCCTGACTGTGAGAGATGAGGGAAATGGAGTGTTTCTCCATTCAGCCTCTATGGTGGAGCAGAGCAAGGGAGAACGGGCTTGACAACAGGTGTGTGGGAGCTAAACACACAGGGGCTACTGACACACAGCAGGTGAATACTTCCAACACTCATTGTTCAGATGATGAAGCTGAGTTCTAGAAGTACACAGTAACTGGGTCAAGATCCCATCATCAAATGAAGTTAGAGCCAGATCTAGAACCCAGGTCTCTTAATACCCAGTCCAGAAGGCTCCCTAATGGACCAGCCAGGGTTGTGGTTGGACAGAGTCTGTGGCTGGAGCTCTTTCGAAGAAGTAGAATATCATCCAGAAAATGACCTTTGGCGATAAAACCAGCAGCAGCGGACAGGGGACAGAATAGCCTCCCCTTGAGGTCACCTTCTTCCCTGGAGGGGAAGGACAGTAGAGGGACAGAATCAAATAATTGCGTGAATCACAGAAGCCAGGCCACGTCAAATCAGGCCACCTCCAGGTGCCCTCCAGCCATGTAGACTTTTCAGTTTCTCATTCTTTTGGCACATCGACGTTTGTGTGTGTTATAATGGAATCAGTCTCATGATGAGCACAGTGATGATGTCAAATTTCCATGTCATTGTTAATGTGCTGTTCTTGTCTTCTGTCCCCTTCTGTTGTTGGACCAAACAGAAGTATTCTGCAGTTTCTCTCTGCAACATCTCCACAGAAGTCTTGAAGGTCATCAATGCCACAGAGGAGCTGATAGCAGAGTCCTCAGGGCCCTTGGAGTTCCCACCTGTTCCTCCCGACAGAGAGAAGGGGACATTTCCTCTCGGGATAGACCAAGTGAGACTGGATGAGCAGCTGACTTCCCTGGAAGAAAACGTAAGACAGTGGGGATGTTCCCTGTCTAGGGCAAACAGGTGCAAAGAAGAAACCAATGAAGGTGTAGCCCATCCCAAACAGTGCAGGGATGCATACACACTACCACCGTAGCAGGTCTATTCCCAGGGAGGCAACGGGCTGGGTTCTCCAGAAGCAGACCTGGAAATGTGGGTTTGCGTCCAAGTGATTTCCTAGGAAGCACTCTGCCAGGGAAGCTGGTTAGGGAGTGGGGAAAGATGGGGATAGGGAAGAAGTCAAGGGAAGGTGTGACCTTTTTTTTTTTTTTTTTTTTTAGATATTATCTGTCCGTTTGACAGAGAGAGAGAAAGAGAGAGAGAGAGCACACAAGCTGGGAGAGGGAAAAGGCTCCCCACTGAGCAGAGCCCAACATGGGGCTCGATCCCAGGATCATGACCTGAGCCAAAGGCAGACACTTAACCAACTGAGCCACTCAGGGGCCCCAACAAAGGTGTGACCTTAAAGGAAGAGTAGCTTTGACCTGATCCAGCAGGAAGCACTAGGGCGTCAGTTGCATCTCAGGGTTGTCCTGACTTGCGGCAAAGGAATTGGCCTTTCCTACAGTCAGCAGACGGTGTCTTCTTGTGGGGGTGGGGAGATACAGAAACTGTAAAAGGGACCCAGTTGGGATCCAGGTGGAGCACTGCCACAGGGAAAGGGGGTGGTTGCCAACAGAATATAGGTCACAAGTGGTCTACCCTGCTTCCAGGCTTGTGTGCTGGTAGTGGATTTTTCTAGTCTGACTTGGGAGGAGGAAAGGAGGTACCAGATTCTTACATATAAATATCCACGCTCATTCTTGAGTGTTTTAATAAATTCCTGATGAGAATTTCCCAACACTCCAGACTAGGGGGCGGCACAGAGCTTGGGACAGTAGCCACTCGGGCCATAGTCTCTGTCACCAGTGGGTATAGTCCTGCCCATGGACTCAGGTGGTTCCATCTTTCCAGACCCAGCAGAGTCAACCCTGATTGTGGGGTGCTGTCATGAATAGAGTTCTCAGAAATCAGGATCTGTTAGTACAGGTAATTTTTGCAAAAAGTTGAAACAACAAATCAAAATGACTCAAGGTTTTTTTAAAAATGCCAATAGTTGCTTTATCTTAAAAGTTAAAGACTCTCTCCCTTGGAATTCCCATAAAACCTAAGTAGAGGTCTGTTTGCCCCTTACCTCCCTTTACTGCCCTTTCTATCCATTCATCTGTCCCCATTAGATTGGCACCAGTGATATTTTGGGTTCGATAATTCTTTGTTGTGGGGGGGGTCCTCTAGGTGAAAGATGTTCAGCAGCATCCCTGGCCTCTACCCATGAGATGCCAGTGACATCAAACTGTGACAGTCAGGGCGCCTGGTGGCTCAGTCGGTTAAGTGTCTGCCTTCGGCTCAGGTTTTGATCCCAGAGTCCTGGGATCGAGTCCCACGTCGAGCTCCCTCATCTGCCGGGAGTCTGCTTCTCCCTTTGCCCCTCACCCCACTTGTGCTCTCTCTCTCTCTGTCTGTCTCTCAAATAAATAAATAAAATCTTTAAAAAGAAAAAAAGAAAGAAAAAGAAAGGAAAGGTAAAGAAAAAAGAAAAGAAAATGTTTATTAAAAAAAATATGACAGTCAAAATGTCTTCAGACATTGTCAGATATTGGAGGGGGAGAGGCACGGAGGCAGAAGCCCAGTCATCCCCAGATTAGGAATCCGATGTATGAATTGCTGCAGAACACCATCTTTCCCCTGAGTAGCCCCAGCCCTTGCCCAGAGCTTGACGTGGAGGTGCTGGAAGAATGTTTACCTGATACATGGTTCAGTCGAATGAACTCCTTTTCTTGGAAAGAAATGTTTTATTGGTAACATGGAGGGTCTCTGTTCTTTAAATATGTCTACAATACAGTTCTTACAGTTCTTTCAGTATTGATAGTTCTAAAAATAGCCTTAATCCTGGACACCAGAGCAGAAAAAGTCAAAGTCAAGACATGGGTCACCAGGAAAGGGCTGGTTTTTTTACCAAGTATTGTATTTTTTAAAAATGCATTATGTGAAACATTCAGATTTAAGAGGTGACTGTGGGTTCCCAGGGAACACTTAAAGCAAAGACAACATGCCTTTTTTTTCCCTCCAAGGGGCATGTTGAAAATGCAGTGGCTTTGTGGGAGTTTTCCTTTTGTAAGATCATTTTATTATACACTATGTTTCTTTCCTTGGATTCCTTAACATTTTCCGGTGGAAACACATCCACTTAACCCGCGATGTGAGATGTCAGAAACCCCAGCAGGGACCAGCGCTCTAAGGCGGGGGTTTGTAATTCCTTGCACCCCTGCTCCCCAAGAGTTAACTGCTTCTTCCCCCTCCTCCCTTCCCCCTTCCAGCTTTCCACATCGCGCCTCAGAAGAACATCTCCGTTCCTTTGAATTCTGTGGTTCTGAGTCAGAGAAGGGCTGACTCTTCTCTTTATCTCTTTAGAGACAAAGATCACAGAGCCCCGGGGCTGGTTCTGCTCCGCGTTTTCCAGGACGGAATTCAGGGGGCAGCCGAAGGGCGGGGCTGATTCTTCAGCGGGCCTCTGGGTGCCGCGGATTTAATTAAACCCGGGCTTTTTGTCCGTCTGTGCTCTAAAGGGCGCTCCTTCGTTTTTCATTGTCCTCGGCGGCCCTGCTCCTTTGTGCCTAGGAGCCGGGAGCGCCAGAAATAGAAACGGAGACACCTACTCTCACCTTCTGGACATTGGCTACCACGGTTTCAGGAAGGGACTATTGTCTGAGGTGTGGGTAAGGTTCAGGGAGGCTGTAGCCCCAGAAAGTGGCAGTCGGGGCTGGGGGCGGGGGGGAGTGGTCCCCACCCCGGGCTGTGAGGTCCATGGAGAGCAGGAGCCCGGAAGAGCGCCCCCTAGTGGGAGCTGTCACCAAGAAGCCCGCACTAGGAGAGCGCAGGGGCCAGGAGAGTAACTTCCACCTCCTCCTGCCATCCATCTCCTGCTGGTTGTCTCCCAGTGGCCAAACCCCCATCCCAGCCAGCAAGGGCGCCGGGATGATGAGGTTCACGCAGGTCAGCCTCACAGAGAAGAGGGCGGGGCAGAGAAGGGTAGGAACTGGACCTAGGGGTCAACAGAACCACTGGCATGACCATTCTCAGACCCTTGGTGTGAGGAGTAGGGACCCACAGAGGCCATCTTGTGGGATTTAGGCAGGGTTATGAGTGGGAGGGAGGAGTGGGCTCCCTCACACCTCCCACCACCATGGGAAGACCTTCCTCATTCTCTTCTTTGCTAAATGACCAACAGCCTGGGGCACCTGGTAATTCCCAACACAGAGGCTGTGCAGGAACAGCCCAACTTCTTTTTTAGTGCTGCCCTGTAACTTTTGCCCTGTAACACCATATCCCATGGTATGTATCTTTAGTGGCCTCAGACACAGTAGAACTGCCCTAGGAGGGAGCCCAGCTCTGTCACAGAATCTGGGAGCAGGCAGAGGATGTAGGTCCTCCTTCTCAAGGCTCTCGGGTGCCCTCCGTGGCACAGGAGAGGACGTGGGCCTGGGCCTTGTGGAGATGGTCCTGGCTACTTCGGTGGTCCTCTGCCTTCCAGAGCAAGCAAAGAAATGCTATCAATTACTGTTTAGGCATAGTCCCCTAGAATGTGTTTCATGGAAGGCAAGTCCAACAGGATACTATAAAATCAGATCAGTTTCAGCAAGATGTATAGTCTTTCTAGGAAAATTGAGAGATGTGTTAGCATATTAAAGACTCTGAGAAGTACTGCAGCAAAGAAACCTGTTTAATTTTCTTTACGCTTGAAGCTTTGACCACAAAGTCCTTCCTCAGTGAAACACCTGTTCTTGTTTCTTGAACCACTTTGAGGAAGTTGAGTTGAACCAGGAGCCAGTTCATGGCGTCATGGGCATCAGTGGCTGGAGTTTGGAGAAGACATGGCTTACACAGACATGGTAGCCATGGTTCTTGCCAAAAGCGAGCCTTTACTCAGCCAGCAATTCCAGGTTAATGGTTTTCAAATGGATTGTTTTTTTAAGACTCGAATAGCATTCCATTATCATAGCATGTTAACTTGTGTTATTTCATCCCCAGCAACAGAACCAACATCAGGTTGATCTATAACCACAATAACTCAAGACCTTTAGGTCAGAGTTTCAAGTGTAAAACGTCATAATGTTGCAAGCGAGATTAAGTATTAGGGCATCAGGGGAGATTAAGTATTAGGGCAGATAAAGACATGGGATCTGACATCAGCCCCCAGGAGCTCAAATCCCAAGTCTACCACTTCCGAGCTTTGAGGCATGGGGAAGTCACTTAACCTCCAGGATCTAACGTTCTCCTCTTTAAGACAGTGATGATGATCATAGCACGCACCTCAGGGATTGCCACGAACATTGAAGGAGAAATGTCCCATAAAACCCTTGGCTTAATGCCTGGCTCAATAAGTATGTGTGGTCACCATCATCGCCAATACCAGCCCATTAGGCACCATCACCTTGTTGGGGTGTTCCTGCTCAGCCCGCATCAGGGCCAAACCACAGAACCTTCCCTCACCCCCTCATGCAAGGAAAGCACACTTTCAGGGAACATAGAGTAAAAGATGAACATCCTGGCCTTGCTGAAGGCTTGGAACTAGTTGGCAGAGAAACAAAGAATATTAGCAGATGACCACGTTGAAGACAAAACAAGAGACCGTTAAGATGACACAGCTGTGGGATGTGATGATGTTGAGCTTTGTGTGTTTCCAGAAAAATCAAGGTTCTTGAGACCAAAGTTATGACAAGTTATGTTTAGCCCTATTGCCATACTCACTCAAATTATTCATTTAATTTAAATAATCATTCCAAATTTTGTTTCATTGCACAACCCTGTAAGTCTGAATTTAAATTGATCTCATCATTTGCCTTTTATCATCTCTCCCTGCCTGTCTCTTTCTCTCTTTCCTCGATTTTCTACCCCTCTGAAGAGAAGTTTTCAACTTCGTAACTTTTGAGACACAAATACTTAATGTTTTCTCCACTCAAATAGCTTTGAAAGATTCATTTCCTTCGTGTGACAAACAACAAAGGAGTGTATTTTGTTTTCAAGACAAAGAATAAATGTCTTATATTAACTGTGAGGATCTTTTAGAAACAGAAGTTCTCTGATTCTTGCATATGACAAAGAAGGACAAAACTAAGGGCAGATGGAACTATGGCAGTCGTTGACAGACATTTGATTCATGGCTCCCTTCTGACTGAAGAATCACTTAACATGGCGTCCACTGTGCCCGTCACTGCGGGAAGCTCCCCCAGCCCAGCTCATCTTGCCTGGCATGGCACAAATGCACATTCATCAAACCTGCCCCTTCCTTTGTTCCACTTTGAAATGTTTTGTAAAATTGTCAGTTTTAATTCAGATGTGTGAATCAGGCCAGAGAACGGACAGGGTAGGAGCACCTCAGCGTTCTTCTCTTCCTCACCAACACTTGGTGTCGCTCAGTGCAAAACACTTGCATGAATTGTGTGTGCAAGCTCTTGGCTTATCCTGTTTTATTTTTTAACTCAAGTTAAAAGAGCATGTGTGACCGTGTGTTTTCATTCAAATGACTCTAAATTGCTGTGATTACATGTTTAGAGCTTTACATATGTTGATTAAGTTTCAAAAACCGCTTGTTAAGTAATTAGCTTCTTTGGATCAGTCTCATTCTGTGTAGTTGGTTGTTGCATCCCGTAACTATCTAGGCTGAAGGACATTTGTTTCTCTCACCCTGGCCGGCATCCCTCAGTCTGAATTATCCCAACGATTCTACCTTCTGTTTGCCCACTTGTATGGCAATTGCCTTATAAACTCATGAGTCAAATTTTTTCCCTTTAATTTTTCCTCAGATCATTCCCTTTACTAATTTTCTCTTTAATTTTCGAGGACTCTCAAAAAACTGTCTTCATTGACGGATAAATAGATTTGACATGTTTCTTTCAACATCACACAATTTGCTAAGAAATCAACTATTTTCCTACTACACATTTCAGGTTCATCTTAATGCTCTTAAACAGCTTCAAGCAAGCCGAAGGTCATCAATCAGAGTTAATTCACTCAAAATGTGGAATTGTTTTAAATTAATTTCATCTCTTTTATGTTTTCTGAATTTTTTTTTTCGGTTGCTAAATGCCAAACAAAATTTTTCTTGGAAAAATCACACCATTGGTTTTTCTTTGTGTCTTCTGTCTTGGCATTATGGCTGTTATAATCACTGGAAAAATTTGCAATTTATGTAGCTGACACCTTGTACTTTGGACTAGTTTATCATATTTTCAAGACTTAGAAGTTGCTTTTTCCTGCAGGAAAGTTTGGGGGAGTGGTAGGTGTGGTTGACAGTGAGAGGGGAGTAAGACCTCATGCTACCATTTGAATTGGGCACATTCCCTGACTTTTCCCCCTAGGCTGAGCCTGGTTCTCTGTCTGGGGTGCCCTGAAAAGACCCCACCAATCCCAGTTCCAAAACCTGAGCTCAGAGGCTGTGCCTCCCCTACAGGTGTACCTGGCGGCAGGCACCGTGTACGGACTGGAAGGCCAACTGAATGAGCTGGAGGATGCCGCCCGCTGCATCCACAGTGGCACCAATGAGACCGAGCTGGCAGATCTGGAGGACCAGGTGGCCACGGCGGCAGCCCAGGTCCACCATGCTGAGCTCCAGGTAAGAACTCCCTCTCTGCCCAGATGGAGCACCTTCATGAAAGGGGAGAGGGCACCCTGACTTCCACAAGAATGATTGCAGAGCCTTTCTATCTGGCACGTTCTCTGGCATGCTTGCATGGTCCTTTTGTGTGGATTCCATCAAATACGACTTTTAAAAATTACAGCGTTGATAATATATCAGATTTCTCTTTAAACCTATGTCACCTTTCTCTTCGATGAATTCTCTGTCCCACAGGTAGGTCTCCTGGCTATATAGGTTCCCATTCCATCCCAAGACCTCCCCTCCCTAACATTTATCACACTGTTTATTACTTACTTGATGGCAGTTTCTCCCTCTATACACTAAAAACCCCATGAGGACAGGACTACAGCTGCCTAGCTTAACACAGAAACTCCAGTGCCTAACATAATACTGGACATGGGTTTGGCACTCAATAAAAATGGGGTGAATAAACGAATGAAATGAAATTGTAGATTTCACAGACCAGTATTTTGCATGATTTAGACATGGCGGATTCAGAACTGAAATGATGTTATCTGTACCTTTGTGAAGACAAGAGTTTGACATTTTCATGGGTAGTCCCATGGCCTCTGACTCTGAATCAGAGTGGACTGTGGACAAAGTCGCTGATTCTCAAACTGGGGTCCATGAGACATGCTGGTCTCTGTAGTATACATTCAGTGTAGACCTCTGGCTCAGTGCAATTTCTACAGACCTTGCATCTTAAAACTGCATCCTAGGGGAACTGGGGTCAGTAGAAACCACCTGTGCACAGAGAAGATGATGATCTCAAGTGGTAATTATTTCTTAAATAAATATTTTTGTTTTAGAGAGTCAAAAATCCCTACAGCCACCGGCAGCATTAAGCCCTCTCGAGAATGGGGGGTGCCCGTTCTCCACCCCGTGGAAGAATTAATGCTGTGTTCTAGGAGTGGTCTCCTTGCACACGGCCCTGTCGACTATTCATTATCAGCAAGAATGGCTGAAGAGCGTCTCTCCTCAAATACAAATCATTTTCCAAAAATACCACCCGACATGTAATCAATTTATGGTCAAAGTTATACAAAGTAGAATAAAATCACTTGTTTTCTGAGGTACAGTTTGGGCCAAATCCTTCTTGAGTGGTTTAGCAAGAAATAACATCATGTATGGGTGTTTGGCAGGGTTTTACTGGATAGTTATTCCTGCTCCTAGATATTTCTAGTCTTAAATTATTGGAACCATGTCTTACGGCAGAAAATCCTGGAGTCCAAAATGACCATGTTCTTTGTGTTTGAATGTGCCTAGTCTTTATACATTTTAAAATATGACAGTATTGTTCAGTGTTCATTAGTGTTCAGTAGTGTTCAGTGATCATTACTTGGTGCCACGAGTTGTACTCGACACTTAAACTCATTATTGTAATCAATCCTTTCAGCAACTCCATGACATAGCTCTTATTTTCCCCCTTGCTTTCCTAGGGAGACTGGGGCTCAGAGAGGTTAAACCACTTGCCCAAGGCCAAATAGCTAAAGAGTGATAAAGCCAGGATTTGAACCTGTCTTTCTGATCTCACAGCCACATTCTGTACCAGGCTGTGCTGCGTGGTTTTCTGAGAAATGTGTTGGTCCTGCCATCAGACACATATCCACTTGCACAGGAGTCCTTAATTTGCAAGGGAGGTTGTCAACGCTGCCTTCAGTTTTACAGATCTTCACAACATGGGAATCTTCAGTACCATGGAGACTCTCTCCCTGCTGCCAGCTGCCCCAGAAAATGAAGCCTCTCACTCCCTGTTGTCTATTCTCATCCAAAGTTGTCCCTACGGAGAAGTGTAGATGTGCTAAACTGTGTTCTTGGATTAGGTCAGAGTCTAGGGACTCTATCACCCTTGGCACAAGATTGCCCAGTGCTCTGGGAGATTGCAGGATGACCCATGGGGCAGGGGTCTATTGTACTATGGTGCTGTCCACTATATCATGTGGCATCATCTCTATGGGTTTCCTGGGGGAAGTTCTCTCTTAACTCTCAGTACCGGGAAAAGCTGTTCTTCTGAGCATTCGGTCTTTATCCAACACTGATCTCTTTGCTTTGGCTCCCGGGAAACGCAGAGCTGAATTGGTCATCCCCCCTAACAAGTGTAAGGGCCATTGGATATGCAGTCTTAGGAATGAAATGGAGCACAACTAGGTGGATAGATGGAGGGGAGAGAGAGAAAGAGAGAGAGTACAAAATGTAGGCAAAATCAGCCCTCAATAGGCCTCCTTCCTCTTTCTCTGGCTTGTGCCCTCTGATCTAAAACTCAAAAAATTAACCCCTTCTTATTCCAGAGCCTGACAGTCAGCAGAACAGGAGGTGAGCAGCCCGCTCTCCCATTGACCCGTCTCTCAGGGCCTGATGAACAAGGGCCTCCATCCAAACAGCTTCCAGGGAAACCATGGGAATCTAATCCACACCAGTTGCACATAACTGATAAAAGTTTGGGGCACCTGGGTGGCTCAGTGGGTTAAAGCCTCTGTCTTCAGCTCAGGTCATGGTCCCAGTGTCCTGGGATCGGGCCGCATCAGGCTCTCTGCTCAGCGGGGAGCCTGCTCCCTCCTCTCTCTCTGCCTGTCTCTCTGCCTACTTGTGATCTGTCTGTCAAATAAATAAATAAAATCTTAAAAAAAAATGTTTAGCCTGCAGCCTTTCTAAGGGGGCTGTGCCATTTATTGGTCTATAAGCTAAAGGAATGCAGCTTTCAATATGAAATTTGAGGAGTCAGAACAAGAAGGCATCTGGGGGCCAGGGAGGAGCAGGGGCTGCGCAGCATCTCCCCTGGGAACAGCTTGGAGTATTTCACCGGTTGCACAGCCTTGGCCTCCTCCCTCCTCCTCTTCCTATTCTGACCAAGACTACCCCCTACCCCAACTTGGGGATAGGGGATGGACCTCGGGTATTCGCCGACCCCTCAGTCCTTCTCTCTGCACTTCTGCAGCCTCTGTCCCAGTAGGCTCTTTCTGAAGAGGTCCCTAGTAAATGAAAGCAGAATTTGAATCTGTCCTGAGCAGCTCAAGAGAGTGGAGAGATAGGGACGGGGACAGAGAACTCAGGGTCCACACAGATTGGCTGCTGGGCCAACTTTCGGGTTCCCTGTCTGATGCCCTGGCAACGTGCAGGCTGTGTCCGGAGATCAGCAAGGCAGCTGTGATCCCCACATCCTCTTTCCACTCCACTAGCCTGCTCCTGCCTCTCCCCGTGTCCCCCATGCCAGGCTTTGGCAGGTCCTCTTAGAATGTGGCAGCGTGGCAAGAGCATGAGGGTTGGCATGAGTTCGAAGCTCTGCCCCAGACCAGCTGTGCAGTGCTGGCTGTGTTACTTATCCTTCTGAGCCACAGATGCCTCATCCATAGAACCAAGAGAATGGTACCTCTGTCATAGGTTTATGAATGAGTTCCCATATTCAAAATGCTTAGCAGGGTGACACACAGATTATTGCTCTTTTCTAAGAGCAGGGATTACGTCTTCTCCATCCCTGGGGACATGGGTGGGTTAGGGTTCTTTCTGGGCACTGACTGGGTTCTTGCTCTCTGTATCTGCCTTAAGACTCTTGAAAAGTAATCCGAACTCTCTCTGACCATCTGATGTTATGGTCCAGGAAACTGATGCCCGAGAGAAGAGGGCACTTGTCTCAAGGCACTTGTCCTTTTAATGAAAGAAATGGATTGGAACCAGGGACTGCTGGGCCTCACTCCTAAGAGCCTGTGCTGTGGTTTTGGCTCATGGAGTCATGGAAGAACGAAGAAGGACCTACAAATCATACTCACCTTTCAAAGCTCACATCAAGTGTGGCCCACTCTGGAAGCCTTCCTGACCACCCCCCACCCCTCTCCCACCATGCTGGGCCAGGGCTCCCATCATGCCCTGGGCTTCCACTTATCCCTAGAGATATATCCCTGACAAGGGTGTTGATATTCTCTAGAGCTACCAAGCTAGACATTTAAATTTACAAAGGAAGGCCTGTGTTTTATTTTCTTATTACAGCACTAGATAGAGAAGGGCTTGGTAGAAGTTGGACAAATGAGTGGTGCCTGGCTGACTCAGTCAGTGAGAACATATGACTCTCGATCTTGGGGTTGTGAGTTTGAGCCCCACGTTGGGTGTAAAGATTACTTAAAAGAATAAAAAAGAAGTTGAATGTATACATCAAAGCAGATTTATTCATTATAGATTCCTGTCATTTCTAACAAAGATTCTCCCCTCCTGTGCTTTCCCCCTACTGATTCTGTCTTTCTGTTGCATTAAGATTTCTGATATCGAGAGCCGGATTTCAGCTCTGACCATTGCCGGATTAAACATAGCACCGTGTGTGCGCCTCACAAGAAAACGAGAGCAGAAGCAAAGGAACCAGGTGCGTTTGTCCCTTACTTCGTCTGTTGGAATATTGCACGACCTGGAAAATTTAGATCAAATATCTTTGTCTTTGTGAAGGTGTGTTGACAGCTGTGTTCTATTTGTAGGTACAAACCATAGACACATCAAGGCAGCAGAGAAGGAAACTGCCTGCCCCACCAGTGAAAGGTGTGCTTAAAGTAAACCGCAGAACTACTAAAGAAATATGCCTGACTTACTTTGAGTTACTCAGCGATCTGAGTTTGAGGACCGGATCTAAGGCAGAGTTCTCACCAGAAGTGCTCTTGTGAAGACTCTATCTTGACTTGAATCCCCCAGAAGCAGACCCCGAGACAAAGACGGGATTTGGGAAGCAATTCCAAGAAACTGGTAGGACAGGAGAGAAATGATTCAGGAAAGGAAATTAAGTCAATGCAATACAATATAATTTGTAGTTTATTTCTCCAGGCAAATGAGACTAAAATACTGTCTTCCAGAAGTCCTCAGCAGGATTTACTGAGGACTTCTGGGAGACAGTATTTTTTTTTTTAAGATTTTATTTATTTATTTGTCAGAGAGAGAGTGTGTGCAAGCACAAGCAGAGGGAGAAGCAGGATCCCAGAACCCTGGGATCATGACCTGAGCCGAAGGCAGACGCTTAACCGACTGAGCCCTGGAGACATCCCTGGGAGACAGTATTGATGGCACCTCACAGTCTCCTGCCCAAAGAATAGGAAGATGAGGATTTCAACTCTCAGCTATCATCCCCTGACATTTACGGGGGGTGGGGGGCGGAGAGGCATTAATTCCCTGGTACTTCTGCCCCACCCCATACACGAGCCAAGAGAAAGTGACAGTGCTCGCAGAAGCATGCTGTTGGAATGTGCTGGATGCCAGAATGTGTGGCATGTCAGGGAAATGTGGGCAGGGCACCAGAGGCATCTAACACAGTGCACAACCCACAGGGGATTCCAGCAATGCCGGTGGTGTCCTCCTCATCCACTGGGCGTTTTCAACAATTTCCCTGGATTCAAGAGCCACATATGATGATGCCGAACTAGGAATTTAGATCTACAAATCAGAAGAGTAGACAGTCAGAAGATACGTTTGAGTCTTGGCTCCACCATTCTTTGTTCAACATTTCTTGAATCCGTAAAACCTTATACAAGCTTTGCGCAGTGGCAGTATCATAGCCAATGAGGTTTATCTGAGGCACGATTATTGCTAATTGAAAACCTTATACAATTACAATGTATTACAGATCCATTGCCCCTTATTTGAAACCTTGGATAAGTATATGTTTCAGAATATCCTGGACATTAGAAAAGTAACATGGTACAAGGACAGTATATTTCCTAATAGCCCCTGCCCCGCAGTGTCTGGGGCAGCAGCTGATAAACACTTTAATATCCTTGCACCAAAACATGAGAATGTTCACTCTCAGTGGGATGGACAAGGATTTTAAATGGTCATATGTCAGTGTAAGTCAGGTTTGGCCACTGGACAATTTTGGCCCCAAAGTTATAAGGATTTTCAACCTTGAAAGCCTTTTATATTCCAGAATTGCAAATAAGAATTTATGAACTATGCATGGGGTGCCTGGGTGGCTCAGTTGGTTAGGCATCTGACTCTTGATCTCAACTCAGGTCTTAATCTCAGGGTCATGAATTCAAGCCCTGTGTTGGGCTCCATCCTGAGCATGGAGCCTACCTTAAGAAAAATAAAGAAAGAATTTATGAACTATGGTGGATTATCTCCAAACTACCTTTTCCTGGAAAGCCACTAATGAGTCTTGAATTTGTTTGGTGCATATCATAAAAATAAACATAAAATTTAAAACTTCTGCAGTCATACCTGTAGATTGGAATGAGATACCAAACCTAGAACCAAAATCTGGGTCACGGGGACACCTGGTCTTTCTTCCTCAACACTCAGCCCGCTTCTGGGTACCACTTATTTCCATCTGTTTCCTTTTAGCTGAAAACATGGAGGCATCTTCAGTGACCACCACGAAAACATTTAACCGCAACTTCGTTCTCCAAGGCTCCTTGACAAACAGGACTAATGAAAGGAAAAACACCACCAAGGATTTGATGGTAAGTTGTGTCGCGATGACCATCACTTGCACTGTAGATGAGGCCTCCATTTTGTAGTCCTCCTGTCCCCAGCTCCTCCATCAGAGCCCCAGGAAGCATCCTTCCTGCCTGGTCTCACGGTCTGTTGGTCAGGGAATTGGCGGGTAAGTGGGCCAATGAGAAGCGATGAGCACCCTGCCTGGTATTGCTAACCTCTTTGATATGGGGATACATCCTCGCAACTCCTTGTAGGGTTTGATAGGAGAGAACTAGAAATGGGTACATAGGAATGTAAGGTCTGGTTGAGGTGTCAGAGTTTATATCCTGTTTTTGATCCACATTCACTCATCCTTAAATTTCTTGTGAGTCATTAATTACTTGTTGTGTTCCTGAAAAAAATGTTCAACAGCTGTCCCGAAACACAAAGGAAGGGACAGTAGATAATTTGCACAAACTCTGGAGAGCTTGTACAGAGGCCTAACAGATCATTTGACTAAACACCTACCTATGCCTGGTGGGGCTTCCGTGGGAAGTGATAATCCAGCTGAACTGACCCCATGGTACCATTACACTGAGGACAGATGGCATCTGGGTGACAAGATTGAAGCAAGGGCAAGTTTATTTTTCTGCCTTTTATGCATCACCATTCTTCCCTTCCCCTTCCTCCGCCTCATGGTCCCTGTCCCCTGAGAGCAGGAGCCCCAAGTAACAGCATAATGGTGGGCATGCCCTTTGGGGTTACAAATCACTGCATCTCTTGGGCATCACATGGCAACAGCTCTGCCCACTGCCTCTTCTTCACTGCTCAGTCACTATCCCTGACCTTTTTTTTTTTTTTTTTTTTTTTTTTTTTTTGACAGAGATCACAAGTGGGCAGAGAGGCAGGCAGAGAGAGAGGGGGAAGAAGGCTCCCCGATGAGCAGAGAGCCCGATGCAGGGATTGATGCGGGGATCAATCCCAGGATGCTGGGATCATGACCTGAGCCGAAGGCAGAGGCTTTAACCCACTGAGCCACCCAGGCGCCCTATCCCTGACCTTTTAAAGTCCAGTTACCTTGCTCCCGGCTGTTACTTCAAAGAGCTAAAAAGATGCGTTTATCGCACTTTAAAGGGCAGACCATTAGGGCCAGGGAAGGAATCTGTTATAAATAAGAAAGTTAAAAACATTACTTTTCCTAGAGATAGAACATAGATTAGTGGTTGCTAAGGGCTGTGGGGAGGGGCCATAGGAAGAAAGCACTTGGTGGGTAAGATGCTTTACTTTAGAGGCACAGTAGGCTTTGAAACTAGGAGGTGGTGGCCACGTGACATTGTGAGTGTAGCAAATGCCACTGAATTGTTCCCTCTCTGTGGGGTGGAGGGGCAGAAGGAGAGGGCGAGAGAGAGTGTTAAACAGCCACAGCGCCCTCTGTCTCCCCACAGGAGCCCACTCTGGAGTCAGCGGTGATGTATTAGCGCCCCGGGACTCCACTGCCAATGACCCACTGCCTCCGGCCGTACACGACAGTGCCTTGACCCCACAGCCATCGAATACTGTGCGGATTTCCACCCGAGGAGAGGGCCTGGGGAGGCCATGGTGCACCACTGCACAGGGCTGTCCCGATACCTCACCCAGCAAGCAGTCCTGGACTTGGGCGCTGCCGGCTTGCCCACTCTCTGCCTTAGGCTCCCAGGGGAATCCCAGACAGCAAACTGAGACGCTGGCTTCCAACAGCAGAGCTCCGTGTTCAAAAGATGCATCTTTTCCCTATCCGCTTTGCTACTGTGTGTTGTCTTTAAGATTGTTTTTGGTTTTGGGTTTTTGGGTTTTTTTGGTCCCTCTCATTCAAGTAGAAGTACGTGCCAACAGTTATTTGTCCAAAGGAAAACTACTGGGGGTTAGGGGGTGGAAGGAAGGGAGATCTGTATCATCATTTAATTCATCATCAGGTCTTGCTAATCTCTCACAAGCATCTTTGTCCCACAAGTGCTAAGGAAAAAAAAAGTGCAAACGCCCCTGTAGTGAACATCAGGACTGTCCCATTTGGGGAGCGTGCACCCAGAGAGGATGCTGCCTTTCAGCCACCTCCTTCCTGGGCAGTTCCAACCTTCCCCGCACCCGGCACAGCCAGTCATTCCCATCGCTTTGCCATCACAAGCCACGAAGTAGAAGCTCTGCCTCACTCATGCCATGTCCAGGCCTATCTGAAACAAGGTCTCATTGAGAATTCAGGGCTCTTCCCTGGACTTACGGACAGTCTCTCCACTCTGAAGGGGGGTGGAACTTGAGAACACCTACCATTGGCTTAACTTTAGGGCACTGTCCAGAATCCACATGACGTGGTTTAGCAATGGTCATGCGTCTAATGGGGTTTGGGTAAATGGATTCTTGCAGATAGTAACCACGTGAGAAATTGTCCTCCAAAATTTATTTCCCAAATAAATATTCAACAAAAGTAATAGAATGACCTTAAAAGTAAACATGATTAAAGAATCACCTTGGGAAAAACAGGCATAAAAAAAGCAGGGATAAACTGAATTTAGTGGACACAAGAGCTGACGTGAGCTCCACATTCCTGGTCTCAAATGCATGACTACGTAGAGTGTGTTTATAAAGACAAATGGAATGGAATTTCACACAATGAATTGAGCATTTACAACCTTTCTTAAATCTGTCCCTGAGACATTCTGAATCAAAAGAAGCAAATCATGGGAAGCAAGGGGATAGTTTGACCGAAATGTATTAAGTGACTGCTTTCAGGAAGTCAGTTTCTTCTAACTTTAACACTTAGAGCAACCCTCTTTGGTAGGTGTCCCCATTTTTCAGATTTGGAAACAGAGGGGGCCAAAGAGATTAGTTTGCCCAAGTCACACCTTGAAACGAAGTCTAATTGGAAAGCTTCACAAAAGCCTCACTCCGTGTTTGTTTCAACTTCTACATTCTTTCGCTGCTACGCACATTCCCAGATCTGATTTGCTGCTGAGATGTGTGTTATGATCCCTTCCTGATGGGGGTCTACCTATCTTCCAGTGATACTCCCTGCTGATGCTGTGTATGTGTTACCCAACAGAAATGACTCTTTGGAAATTAAGTCTTTGGCTTTTTTTTCTGTTGGTGTGACTCAAAGCAGACAAATACAAATTTTAAAAACACAACAAAAAAAGATCTGAGTTCGAAATAGAATGTTTTCTTTAAGAGGCATGAAAAAGCAACTATTGTTGTGTTACAGTGTTAAAATATTCAGTTTTCTTTGACAAAAATGTGTAAACTGTGTAAGCCTTGCAAAAAAAAAAAAAGAAAAAAAAAAAGAAGAAGAAGCCTGCTCTATGGCATTTGAAATTTTATAAAGGTTTCCTTGTGCCAAATAAGTGCAAAGATTTAATTTACTATTAAAAACCATAAGTATATGTTATAGTTTCAGAAGAATTATTTTGTCATCAAGTGATTTTGATCTTCAGTGTCAATATTTATATTTAGATTAATTTTTATAAATGAAAATATTTTAATGGTTTAAGAAAATGAGGACAATAGGACCATATCTTTGATGACTTCTGAAAGTTATGCTTGCCTTCATGTTATATGCACATTGCCAAGAATTACTGTCAAGAGAAATGATAAAGAAGTAAAAGTCATTTATGAAAATAATGTATGTGAGTGTGCGCTTTTTTGGGTTGGGGAAGACTGGGAGTGCAGAGGGGACAGGGAAAGAAGTCAATGTTTAGTCGTTGGAGGGGCCAACCTTCAAAGCTACTGTTGCCTTACACCCCCGTTCCTTCCAGTCACAGCACTTGCTTCTGGATTACTCACTGTCCTGAGAGCGCAGTATTCAAAGCAGAGGGGGAGGAGGGGAACGGTGTAGGTTTCTCCCCCAGGAGACCTTTCTGATCGTCATAACGTGGCGGGGGGTTGTTACTGGCATACGGTGGACAGTGGCCAGGGATGCTGCCAAACACCCTACAGTGCAGAGCCACCCGCAACCAAGAATTATCTCACACAAAATGTGATCAGTGCCAAGGCTGAGGACGCTGGGACCCTGGAGGGAAGCCTGGACATGGGCAGAGAGGCCCCTGCACAGGAAGCAGGACCCTGAGTCTCCCAGAGTCTTTCACGGGTCCAGTGACAACTGTTGCTTCTCTGAGGCTGGCCTGTCCTGACACTGGATGTTGCCATCCCCACGGAGGAGTAGGAACCCTCCTCCCACTGGAAGTAAATGAGTGAATAATAATAATATGGACAGAAGCCACTGGCCTTCACCACCTGGTGGCCTAACACGGTCATATTCAAACTTGAGTGGGCATCAGAATCACCTGTTAAGACACAGATTCATGGGGCACCTGGGTGGCTCAGTGGGTTAAAGACTCTGCCTTCAGCTCAGGCCATGATCCCAGGGTCCTGGGATGGAGCCCCACATCGGGCTCTCTGCTCAGCAGGGAGCCTGCCTCCTCCTCCTATCTCTCTCTGCCTCTACTTGTGACCTCTGTCAAATAAATAAATAAAAATATTTTTTAAAAAAAGACACAGATTCATGGGAGTCACCCAGTCATCCCCAGTGCTCGGTCTACTTTCTCTACATTACTACACATGTGTCTGGCACAACAGTGTTTGCTAAGCACCGAGAGCAAACAAGCTAACATTTAGGTGGACACGGTATTTCAGAAGGGGGGAGAACACCATCTGTAGACCCATCTGAAGTCCTCTTCAGGCAGCATTTCCTGGCTGGAATTCCTGATTTCTCCATCCTCCCTCCCCACGGCCCCATCCCAAAGGACAGCTGGACATGTAACACAGTGAAGACAGTCCAGTCACACTCCAGCAGCAGGAACATTCCACCTCTCTAGCCCAGAAACCCCCAAAGCATTGCTGAGCAACCAATCTGCCTCATCCGTCCAAATATTCAAGAGAATCCATTTGAGCAAACAATTTGAATATCAAGAATGATGCGCAGCTCTTCCTGCTTCTGGGGTAAATAGGAACAGTGTAGCAATGATATTTTCCCCATAGAGATAAATGCTTGATTTGCCATGACAAAAAAAATACATAAATAATAACGTGACCTAATATTCAAATACTTGAAGGCTGCCAGAAAAAAACGGGCTCCACTCTTAAGATTTTCCATGTACTAGCTCTGTGGCCTATGGCCTTATATGTGAGATGGGTTATAAAAATCTTCTTAGTGTTGTTACAAGGCTAAATGGAGTAACCCGTGAAGAAACTCAGCAGAATCCTAGAGTACTATAGTTATTACAGTATACTTTAGGTATTTATAGTAAACGTGTATATATAGTATATATAATATATTATAGGTACTTTTACTCTTAGGACATGAAAATCATTCAAATATCAGCACCAGGACTTAGGTAAAATGCTGTGCCCCACTTTTCCCACTGACAGTCAGAAAGATCATTGTTCTACAAGTACGCACTCCCTTTTCACCCTCACTCTGGGAGCCGTGCACTATACTGGACTTTGGGCTGGGTCATGTGACTTGCCTTAGCACTGGTAGAACATACTTCTCTTAGTCCATTTGGGCTGCTATGACAAAATTCTAGAGACCGAGCAGTTCATAAACAACAGAAATTCTTTCTCACAGTTCTGGAGGCTAGAAATCCAAGACTAGGGTGCCAACATGGCCGGGGGCTACCAGAAGCCACTGCAGGCTGCCGGCTTCTCACTATGCCCTCACATGTTGGAAGCAGGTGAGAGATCACTCTGGATCCTCTTCTAAAAGCACACTAATCCCAGTTGTGAGGATAGATCTCTCCTGACTTAATCACCTCCCAAAATCCCTATCTCTTTATACCATCACCTGAGGCAGTGGGATTCAAAAATTGAATTGGGCAGGGGGCGGGGACTCAAACATTCAGACTGTATCCTCCAACCCTTGGTTTGGACTTGGCCGCATGACTTGTCTTGGCAAATCAGATGTTAACAGAAGAGCTACTAAGGGGCTTCAAATATGTTTATTGAGTTGGGTTTGTCCATTTTCATTTTGCCATTCCCACTTTAAGAACATGCCACAAGCAGCCAACTGGTTCAAGGAACAGATCCAGACCGAACCAACTTGTGGTTTGCGGCCAAGTTCAGCTGAGCCCAGCTGAGATCAGCAGAGACACCCCACCAACCTTTAGACCTATGAGCAAGAATAAACCATCCATCTTTTAAACCACTGAGACTGGCAGTAGTCTTTTACATGGGAATGACTAACTGATACACTCTCTGAAAAATACATTTTAACACCTTAGATTAATCCTTCTGTTGAGGGTGAAATGAAGATGAGTGGCTATCAAAGGTAAAAAATCACATGACAATATGAAGGATAGGTAAGCAAAGTATTGACCTGCTTGGTTTTGACATTTCCAATTTATATATGAAACTTCTGTTATGTTTACATGTTTCCCAAAATGTAGCACCTCTCTCTTGCTCTCTTTCTCTCTCTTGCTCTTGCTCTCACTCTGTGTGTGTGTGTATTGATCTT